GTCTTGAACCCGCGGGCTCAGGCAATCCACTCACCTCAGCCTCCCAAAGGCGCGCGATTACAGGCTGAGCCACTGAGCCCGGCTACACCCTCAGCTTTAATAAGCACACACCAGTCCCATCTCACACTCCACACTGCTCCCCAGTTCACTCCAGCTGTTCCCTCAAGTCCCTCCGGAGACAGGTGAATAAACATGGACAAATAAATTCGTATGCACGCCAGCTCACTCACAGCGGCATCAGATGGAATGCTGGCTTTAGAAAGTTTTGTGTCCATAAACAAACTTGTTTAAAATGGTTCTTCCAGTAAACAGAAGGCTGTCCTTGGAGTCTGGAGATGGCCTTCCTTCCAACTTGTGGCCCCAGCCAGCCCTGGCCTCACTTACGCCCATTCAGCTTACCTGATGGCAGCCCAAGGCCTGCTCAGGCAGGAGAGAGGGCCTGGGGTCTAGCCACTTGGGCTCAGCAGCACCAGGCATCGATTTCCTGTTTCTCTGAAGCCCTTGGGCCCTACGGAAGGAGCAGCCCTGTCTGGGAGAACATTCCCCCAGCTGCCTGCCTGGCCCTCTTCCCTGAGAGCTCCCAGAGGGACAGGACAGCCCCCCTGGGCCAACAGCGTCACTACACTGCCACGGTGCGTGCTGGTCAGGGCTGAGACCAGCTGTCAGTCTCTGACCGCTCACGATGGCTCCACCACAAAAATGTCCAAACAACCTCAGATGATTGGTTAATGTGCAACCTGCAGGCTTTCCTGTTCCCCGCGGCAGTGGATGACCTCACCTAGTTGAGAAACAACTGCCCAAAGGGTGGGACACTTGAGGGTCATCTCTCTTGAATGTGGTGGTCAGGAAGCTCGAGGGCTTCTGCTGTCAGGGCACCACACCCTGCGCCCTGAGGCTGGTGTGGACCTGAGCTAACAGAGAAGGGAGGACACAGTGAAGGGACAAATTGTGTCCTCCCTGCCTGCATTGCCCCCACTCCCCCACGGTCCCAGAATTCCTGGAGAGTGTGGCTGCCATCTACCAGGATCTGCTGTCAGGCAAGAACCCCAATACGGTGATCGTGCCGACGTCATCCAGTGGGCAGCACCGCCAGCGACCTGCCTTGGGCGAGGCGAGCACGCTGGAGGGAGTGGAGGCATCACTGTTCTGCCAGTGCCTGGAAAGCCTGTGTGACCGGCACAAGTTCAGGTGAGGGACGGTGCGCAGACCACCTCAGCCCTGGGGACCGTGGGCTACTGGCTTTGGAGATGACCCGCAGCATGCTCCGACTGGCCTCGCACTTCGCAGCCCCTCGAGGCACACATGAGCACGGTGCTGTCTGCCCCCAAGCTAGGCTGCGGCCTGAAAGGCTTCCCAACTGGTTCACTTAGAAAGGACAGCTTTCCTTTCACTTGGGCAAGAGCGGCTGGAGATGACCAGCTTATGGGTGACAGATTGGCCTTAACGTTTTGGAGATAAGGAAAAGGTATTCACAAGACTTTCCTTCACAAAAGAGGGTAAAGCTGTCTTGTGTGGCACCAAGTACCCTTCATGACAGAGAACCCAGCTTTGGTCTCCTCCAAGAAGAGGTGTCACCTTCTCTACCCCTCCCTCCTACGCCCCCGGGCAAAAGCAACAGTGAGTGGACCTTGCTTCTCTAGGGCTGCAGGGCTCCAAGGGCCAGGCTCAATCCTGGCTCTGAGTGACCCCTAAACCTGGGGGTGGGGTGAAAAGACGGCCCTCGGGCTTGCTGGTCTCTGAACCCGGCATCGGTTTGTCTTTCTAGCTGCCCACCCCTGGCACTGGTCAAAGAGGTCCTCAGCAGCGTTCAGAGACTGACCTTCTACGGATTTCTTGTGGCTCTCTCAAAGCACCATGGGATCAACCAAGCCCTCGGTAAGCCAGCGCTAGCCGCAGCCAGCCTTTCCCACCCCCAGCACAGGTAGCAGCTGGCCTCTGTTGGCAGACACGGCGCCGTGGGGGAGGAGTGTCACCCTCTTTGCCTTGACTTCCCAGAGCCAGACACCGAGTCCCAGAGAGCCAGACCTGCAAGCCCAAGGCTGCCCTCTTCCACATTCCCATAGAGGGACAGCCTTCCCCGCCCGAAGCTCTGCCCCGACATGAAGCAGCCTCTCTGGCAGAGGTGTGCCCAGCCCCTCCCCAGAGACTCTCAGTTCTGCTCTGGGGAGCAGCCTGCAGGTTGGGCAGACACAGGGCTATTTACTCAGTGGCTCTGGAGATTATATATCAAAGAGACCTGATTCCATTTATAAACAAGGCAAAGGTGTGTCTGGGAGGTTTTTTCCCCAAGTTGAAAAAAAAATAATCTGATTAATCTGAGAGGGAGCAAAGAAACACGGGAAGCCTGGGCTGGCCCAGCTCTCCCCACCTGCCCTTCCCGCCCACACCCACTGCTTTCCTTGGGGAGGACCAGCAAGCCACCCCGCCATTGGAGGGGAAGGGGCTCCGGCTTGGGTCTCCCCTCCAGAGCTCCTCCCAGCGGGCCTGGGATCCCAGGTGCCAGGGCTCAGAGTAGAGAGCCCGCATCCTCCTTCCTTCTGCAGGATGGGGAAGTGCGGTCAAGGAAAGGAGAGTTAGCATTCAGTAACCGCCAACCCCGGCAGGCTGAGAGCCCCAGCCGCTTTCCATGTATGAGCTCACACAACCCACAGGCAGCCGGAGGATACAGTGGATACGCGGGGGCGCAAACCCCAGCAGGACGGCTGAGGGCCATGCAGGCATGTATGCCATCTGGCAGCCTGGTTATTCTGAGTCGGTGCTTGGGGCATGCACAGGTCGGGGACCCTTCACCCAACTGATGTTGGGGAGGGGGGCCGCTTAGCTGTGCTTTGCTCTGAGTAACTGGCCGCCCACCCTTCCTGTCCACCAGTTACAGCTGCCAGGAAGGAAAGGAGACACTAGGTGGCAAGTGGGCAGGACTGGATTCACCCATGTCCTCACCTTTTCTCAGGGCCTTTTTTTTTTTTTTTTGAGTTGGAGTCTCACTCTGTCACCCAGACTGGAGTGCAGTGGCCACTCCCGGCCATCGCAGCCTAGACTTGCTGGGCTCCGGCGATCCTTCCACCTCAGCCTTCCAAGTAGCTGGAACTATAGGCGCATGCTACCATGCCCGGCTAGTTTTTTATTTATTTTAGAGACGAGGTCTCGCCAAATTGCCCAGACAGGTCTCGAACCCGCGGGCTCAGTCCATCCACTCGCCTCGGCCTCCCAAAGTCCTGGAATTATAGGCTGAGCCACCAAGCCCGGCCTCTTAGGGCCTTTCAAAAGGACACTCAGCTGGGCTCGGTGGCTCAGCCTGTAATTCTGCGCCTTTGGGAGGCTTTGTGAGTGGATGGCCTGAGCCCGTGGGTTCAAGACCCGCCTGGGCAAATTGGCGAGACCTCATCTCTACAGTAAATCAAAATTAGCCGGGTGTGGTAGTACACACCTGTAGTCCCAGCTACTTGGAAGGCTGAGGCGGAAGGATCACTGGAGCCCAGCAG